AGGAAATGAGTACTTATCTCTTATTATGATGGGGGACTCACTCGTGTTAATCTGATATATTATGAAGACAGCATACCCCCCTGAGTATTGAGTTTTAAAATGAGCTGTGGATATTATTCCAATCCTAATGCAATCATTGAATCTGTTGCTACATGAGTTTAATATTAATTATGAGGAACGTTAATTCTGAATAAAAGGATTAACAGAATCAAATTAAGTATAGGTGTGAATAATAAGAGTTAACCCTTCTTCGGCGTACAATAGGATGTGGGGAAGGCAAGATATTGCAATAATTCTATTTAAGGATGCCTCTTGACCGGTTAAAGGAGCCGTTCAATACTGGGAATATGATAACGCGATCTGATTAATTTCGTCGAGACGATTACGTATTATGGGCAAAATTTAGCAGAGGAGGAGACAGAAAAATACCAATATTACGTTTCTATGTAGAACAGCCGCGGCTACACCACAATCAATGTATATGAATCAGAAGGAAACTGAGATGGATAGGTGATGACGAGCATAATGACGCCATAATTGATTGTGATTCCCCGCAGATACATATAATACAGAAGGGAACGAAGACAGTGAAAGAATTGTGGGAGGGCTCATAATTTATTACAGCAAATAAATCCTAGAGATTAAGAAATAATTCCAGTATAGAATCCTGAGGATAAACTGAGAATAACAGATATGTATAAGTATAACCGAGTTTTCCATTCCTCGTATCATGAATTCTAGTAAACTAAAAGAGGGACATAAGGCATTCCTCATTTGGAGGTGTTAGGCGAATTTAGATTATGGGTATCAACTGAGGATGCATCCATTCAAGAAGGCATAAGGAGGATGTTAGAGGCAGGAATACAAACAATTTACATGCCTCTATACATTGCTATGATTTATTGATAACAGCCTATGTTTTGTTGACCTATTTACACCTTACCATGGGACCTAAACCGTTGGATATATATATATGTATATTTTTACTCTTGGATATGTGGGAATAGTTCATGAGTCATAGAAATAGGAGGTGTTAAGCTGGTGAATTATGATGTCCCTCTGGCGTCATACAGGAAGGGGCTACCCGGAAACACAAGCGGAACCCGAAAGGATGAGACTGATGGTTAAACATCTTTAGGCACAGGGAAAACGTAATTAACAGTATATGCTGATTAAAATTAGAAGATTATTCATTTTGCATAAAGATTCTCCCCCTAAAATTACACCATTGTTCATGACGTGTCTCATCTATGCATATATAAAGGGAGTAATGGACTGTTGAATTTGAACTGGTATGAGTTGTAATTTCACATTGAACTTTAATTGTATGTTGCATACGATTGAGAGGGCTGCTATACTGTTTAAATGTGTCTATGCCTTTTTGTGGAAACTCATATGAGTGCAATGGAATAAAGATATCCTGATGCAATGAGTACAGACTGAAATGGTGGGCCGCTGTGTTTATATGGCTTCCTTTATACTTACCTTATTTTTGTGAATGCGTTCTCATGCCCCATCCTTTTTGTTAGTGTGGTTTTTGATGTTTCGATATCTTCACCAGTATCCGCCCGCATGTTGCATTATTCCTATGTATTTTTTCTCATGTTTCAGCATTTTTATGAGAGTATTCTTCCATGGTGCCTTCTTCCTATATATGCGTGTTCATGTGGGCGAATTTTGCGAACGTGGTTTGACGTGGGATAATTTTCGCGGACGTTGCTTCATGTGGCCTAATTTTCGCGGACGCTCTTCCATGTGACGTAATTCTGCAAATGTGTCTTCATGTGCCCTTTCTTGCGAAGGTAATTTCCTCTGGGCTAATTTTTCGCGGACGCTGTTCCATACTGCATAATTCCTCGTGCACGCCTTTCCATGTGACTTAATTTCTCCACGATGTAGCTTCATGTGGCTTAACCTGGTTAGAGTTTTTTCATGTGGATCAATTCTTGGGGGGGCTCCCCTATGTTCTATATCTATCGCAGGCAAGCTGTTTCGTTTCGCTTCATTATATATATTTCTCTATTTAATTTTTTCATGAGGATACACCTTTCTGCTGCATTCCTTTCACGAGAATTTTTGGAGGGTTCCTTTATGATGACATCCCTCGCCGCATCCTTATGAAGATACCACCATTTCTGGCATGCTTATGAAGATGCCTTTACCTGCCGCATTTTTATGACGATTTCTTCTGTGTCGTTTTTTCATGATGCTTTTTTTTTCTACATTTTAATGATGCTCTCTGTGCGAGTCATTGCGCTGTTCTTGTCTTACGTTACTGTGCTTTGTATTGTTTTGCGGCGGCACTGTGCTTCGTACTGTTTTGCCGTGGTAGTATGGTGCTTTCTCTCTGTGTGGCATTCTTCTAAGGATGTTTAGATCTGGTATGTGGCTATAATAATGCTCCTTTGTGTTACATTTCTGCACAGTTGCACTGCTCTTGTCGTGTCAATATGAAGATTTTTTTGTGTCTGGCATCTTTTTCAGGATGATATTTCCTGTCCCATTTTTATGAAGTTCTCTTTTTTTATGGTTTGTCCATGTGAGGTGTATTTTCCCAGTAGGCCATCCATTTCTGCAAGATTCATTTTACCGCGTTGTACTTCTAATATATTTTCTGGCTCGTCATTCTTATAGGGACGGCTTGTTTCGCCGTGTCACTATTAAGATTCCTGTTTCATTTCTTTCCTGACGATAGTTTCTTCTTCGGGTGCCCTGATGAGGTTTCTTGTGCCACGTCATTATGAGAATTCCTTTTGGTGTGGCATCTTCCTTACGAAGAATCCCCTTACCGCGTTATATTCATGATATTCTTCTGTTTCGCTGCTTTTTAAAGATGCCTCTTCCTTCTACCATGCTACCGCGAAGGTATTTTCGCGAGGCCCTCTTTTTATGAAGATATTTCTCTTCCGCGGCATACTTATGATGCTATTTTCCGGCGGCAGCCTCAATATACTGTTTTGTGTCATTCGTTTTATATGGATGCTCCCTTCTCCCGCGGGATCGTGAAGATGTTCTTCTGTGTGTCATCTTTTCTACGAGGATGTACACTTTTTCGCGGCGTCCTGAAGATGTTCTCTCGTGTGCGATTTTCTCTAGGAAGAGGGCCTTTTTTTGCGGCATGGTTAAGCTGGGGTCCTGTTTCTTATTTTCTTTATGAGGATGCTTCCTTCTCCTGGTAGCTTCAGGATTTTGTTTTGTGCCGTCATTTTGAACATGTTTCTTTGCCCCGATCATTCTGAAAAGGTTTCTTTTTGCCGCATCATCGTGAAGATGCCCTTCTGGCTGTATCCCTGTGGATATGTTGTATTTATTATATGTCATTCTTTTTTATCACAATCATCTGTTTCCCAATATCTTCAGCAGCGTGCTTATCTTTTTTCTATGTGGCTGCATTATGAAGATTTGTCCTCTCTTTGGCTATTATGAGAATGGCCACTTATTTGAAGTGTAAATATCATGACTATACAGATGCAGTAGTATTAGCAAACAGGGATAATATACCGATGTGTAAAAGAGGACCTTTATCCCTGGTGTATTATTGCTTTAGAAGTGATAATGTTCATCGAGTACTATTAGGTAAATAGCGATGTTACCTGGATAACACTGTTAATTGGACAGCATAGCTGTATCACGAGTAAGGAATTACTGTAGCGTTACTGTATAAAGGCTACTGACGTGTCCGTAGTACTCATATTTGCAGAGTACTGACATGCTTATCGTTTCATTACATCGAAAACGGAATGCTGCGTAGTATACTGTTCTTTGCAGAATACTGGTTGGCGCTCCTAACGCTGGTGCAGGGCCGAAATGCACGTGTAGTATTCTTATGTGGGTTGCATGGATATTCTAGAATTCCTGCTTAAAGCATACTAAGGTGTCTGGATTCTCAATAGTTCGCAATCCTGAGATTCTCATGATATTTTTATATGAAAATACTAGTAGCTGAACCCTGTGCAGGACCATTAGTTCTATCATACTAAGCTGCACCATTATGTGTTCTGGCCTGTGCCATAATTAATATTATTATATTCAGAATACTATCTTATGGAAGAGTACGTGTTTGCAAGGTGTACCATCATGTTAAGAATATTGTCGTGTCGATAATACTCCTATTTAAATAGAACAGTCCTTTTGTGAGTATTCATGATTTACAATGCCAATATGAGGAAACAGGAGGAATATGTATACTACTCATATGTGGAAATAGCATACGTCCTTGGGGCACCTCTATTTGGAGGGTGGACAAGTCGAGAAAGTCGTATTAAGTGATGTATTCGGGTGATAGGATATATATGGCGTAACCTTTTACCATTTGGGGAGAGCTATCGTATGAAAAGTGCACACGCTTCTGTTGTATCTTATTCTGAAGGATACTTCTGCGTCGAGTGTGTTAATGTCTCAAGTGAACTGATATTTGAAGAAAAGTACTGTTATGTGGGAAGCAGTATACCTCGAGTAATAAGCTTATCGTTGGATTATCATGATGTTAAGTGTTCTGATGTAATTTTAATGACTTCATTAAATCACGTGCGGGATGGCACAAATCGTAGAAGTCATCAATAATACTATTACTTAAGGATTATTGCTACTCCGGGAGTATGATGATGTTAAAAGCAGTTTCTTGTCCTGAGTATTCATATTCCAGGAGTGGTATTGTGCTACGGGTACCAGTCTATCTGCCATTATGTGTCCTCCTTATTAGGACTATATCTGTGGTACTATTCTTTAGAGAGTACACGTGTACAAGTAATACCGTTATGTTAATAATACTCTCGTTTGAATAATACCTTGCTTTGAGGTATACCGTTCTATGGGAAGTATTAATAACTCGAAGTATCATTCTGTGAAGAGTACATAAGTATATACCGTAGTCATATCTGCGGAGTCTTCAGATGCCTCGTACATTCCTATTCGGAGTGTCACAAACTTACATCAGTACTGTCGAGTAATGTATCTTCAAGCGGATAAGATATATGGCACAATGTTTTATCATATACAGAGAGTTACACCATAGAGGGTACCAGCGTTTCCGTAATAGTTTTATATGAAGCCTACTATGGTGTAAACAGCATAGACCTGTTCAGTGCTCCCTCTTTTGAAGATTATTACCCTTATGTACCGAAGGGTGTTCCTAGATCAACATGCCTGTCTCTGAATTGCCATTATGTAAAGGGTGTCTATTTAAGTTTAATGGTCCAATAATATAAAGTACGGGATTGTACAACCTTTAAGAAATGTTAGGGAGACCATTGTTTCGATAGTATTATGGTGCCGGAACTACTCTCATGTGAATGGTCCCCCTGTTTGTGAAATATTGATATTCTACGGGTGTCATTATTTGGAGAACACTATTCCGTCGAGTGTATCGATATTGAAGCAGGATTCACGCGTGTGCAGTACGGATGTGTATGGATTCTGAATGATAATGATTACGGAAGTTGTCGTAGTGCTGTTATATGAAGATACTAATGGTTGAGCTGTGGTAATATTTGTTGTGCATTGTTTTCTAAATAGAATACCTCGGTAGGTAGTACGCATAATCGGAACCCATATTTTGTGAGTATACTCATATGTGTGTAGTACTGTCATTTACGGACAACAATTGTGTGCAAATTATGGATGTCCCTGAAGCACAACTATCTGAAGGATTCCGACTTCAAGGCACAGGATTTTGGCTTCTATTATACGCACAAAACTACTGTGTGGAACTTGTAGCAGTCCCTGAAGTATTATTATTTTAAGAGTGGTGCATCGCGTGAAGATTCATGACTTTAGCAGTCCCACCCTACCAAGTGTAGGGATATCCTTAGATTACCCTTGTGTGAGAGTAACTTTTTAACTTCAAGTATTCATATTTCCTGAGTACTATCATGTGAATAGTCCAAATGTCTGCCGAGTATTCATATGGGAGGAATAACATTCTAGGGATGAGTACTACTGTGGCCGGAGTAATATCATTTAAATAGTACTGACATGCAGTGGGTACCATTATTTCTACCCTGTATCTGTGTCTGAAGAATACTATTATATGAATGAAAGCATTGGATGAAGTTCACAGATATAGGTGCTGTAATCTTATATAAACGGCACAACTGTGTATGTTGCTGCAACATGTCGCAAGTCTCCAAGGTTGTGAAATATAAGGGTGTACCAGCCGTAGTATTATATCGGCGTTCATGGATTATACTACTATTGTAAGGACTAAATCCTTTGAACCATGCAGACCACCAAGGACATACTTATTTGAACAGAAACAATATACCTGTGGTGATTCAGTGTGGATGGCACCAATAGATGAAGAGTGCCATTCTGTGAAGTCCACCAACATTTTGAATGCAGTACTATGTGAAATGTAGGGATATCCTGGGCAATTGTTATCTGAAAAGTCTCCTTGTGGCTGGAGCGCCCTTATTTGAAGAACATCTCTGTGTAAAGGGTAAGGATATCCTCCAGTGTTACTGTATATGAAGCGTATCCAGGTGTTTGTAGTACTTATATGTCGAGAGTAGTAACACACTTATTCTATTGGTATTTGAGCACAGAATATACCCTTGGGGTACCATTATTTGTACAATACTGGTGTCGATTTTCCTTGGTAGTGATGCGCGGGGTTATACGTGTACTATTATTATGTCAGGAGTACAGTCGTCCATGTACTAGTGTATGTGAAGGATTCAGGGTTTATGCTTTCATTACATGGACGGCCCCATTCTGTGAAGTGCCTGGATATTCCAGTATAACTATTGTCTAGAAGCTACTGATGCCTGTAGATACTCAATGGTGATGAGTCTGGAGATCAGCATAGTACTATTCTATAAAAGTACGAGTAGTGGAGCTATATGGATCACCTGGAGTGCTATTATACAGACGGAAGCATGATCTGTCAAGTGTTTTGCCTTTATGAGTAAAATTACCCTTGGAGTACGATAATACAAGAAGTACCGTCTTGTTTACAGTAGTGTTGTGTGGATAATACTTCCATTTGAAAAGGATATCTGTTGAAGGAGTATTCATGACTTGGAGTACTGTTATGGGGACACTACAAAGGTATGTACAGTACTCATATCTAAGAATGCCTAATATGACTGGTACCATGCCATTTGATGAGTGGCAAAGTTAATCCCGTATTATTAAGTAAAGTAAAGAGGGATATAGAATTCATGACTTAGTTTTATGCCGTATGAGGAGGGCAAACCGTTACGCAACGTGTCGAAGTTGCCGTAGTACCTCCGTATGGGGGGTACACTTCAGTGGGACTTAGGGATGTGTGAATTGCACGATTACTTGAAGAACACTGATGTTATGTACAGAGTAGGTTGTCCTGATGAGTACAACTGTCCTTGGAATAACATTATTTGAGGGGTCGTCATGTTGGTTTAATGCGTGGATGATATGACTTGGCCGATTCTGCAAATCCGACAGTTGGCCTCGAATCATATTGTCTAAACAGTAGAGCTATGCCGGGGCTACTATAGTGTTAACCGTATTATTGTGTCAAGAATACTGATATTCGAGGTGTGTCATTATTCGTAGGTTAATATTGTATGAAGTACCTAGATATACCACGAAGGCAAATGCCAAGGAAGTATTAATGTGTCCTCATTTCCCATGTTGACGAATGCGGAGATTCTGGTAGTACTGTTATATCAATGTATTAATGGTTGATCTATCCTGATATCTGCAAAGTACACTCTTTTTTGGGGCATAATCGTATAAAAAGTAGGGATGATTTGCGGCGCAGTCTTGTGAATGTACTCATATCTCCCTAGTTTGATTTCTTGGAGTGCACAATTGTGGTGGGATTCTGGATCACCCCCATTCACAATTATTAAAAGAGGTGGAATATCATGGCCTACTGTTTAGGCTTCTATTATAGGCAAAGCACCATAGTCCGGAATTAATAGCACCCCCTGGAGTGTTATTATATTAACAGCAGTATACTGTGTGGAACCGCATGATTGGGGGAGCAACGCTCGAGCAAGTGTACACATATCCGTGAAGGAGTATTGTCTAAGAATTACTTATTCGCTCCCAATGGTAACATTCCCAGAGTACTATTATGTGAACAATGTGAATGTTTGCGAAGTATTCAGATATTAGGAATAGCATTGTGAGGTGGATACTACTGTACCGGGAGTACTATGATTTAAAGTGTATGGACATGCATGCCGTATCGTTATCCTTATCCGTCGTCCCTGGCAAGGATGGTAATGTATAAATGACACCATTGTAAGAGATAGACGAATATACCTGGTGTATTATTATATGAAAGGTAGGGTGATATAAACAGTACACCTGTGTCTAAAGTGTCAATGCTGGTG